TGTGGTCTTCGACCATAGTTGCACCTCCTAGCAGTTCATGATTGCCTTTCCCATAACGTCCCATTCGAGTCCACATGCTATGGTAGTAGTTAGGGGGGAGCGACACCCGAGTGATCCTTCTCATATAGAGCTTTCAAACCATTTACCTTTGTTTTGTTTTGATTTAAATCTCATAGTTTTCAACCAAAAACCAATCCGCTAGATAATGTTTCAAACAATTGAAGTAGGGTACGTCGACCAGCCCGGGTTGATATTTAAACATACTTTCCCTATATTGCACCCATCTAAGGTTTATACTTGGGCGTTAGGTGGGATTTTGTTGTGATATTCGGGACGAGTCAAGTTTATGGCGCCGTTGTCGGGGAGTTTTGGTCCGTTATCTTGAAAAAGTTGTTTGGTGTTAATCTAGTTTTTAATTTTTAGCTTTGTTTGTTTGAGTGCTTTGCTTGTGCTAGACGTGGTGTTGTTCTCTAAGTGTGTGCAGGAAGGTGCATGCCCCGGAGCAATTTGGCACCTTTATTAGTGCTTGACGAGAACATCAATCAGACTCTCCGACTTCTACCTCAGAAGAGGGAGTTAGCGGAAGCAAGGAGGAGAAGTGAAGAAAGGGGACAACAATTGTGTCCCGGAGTTAGTGGAGTAGAAGTTGAAGGAGTTGAAGAAGAAGTTGATATTGGAGTTGAGATGGCAGAGAAACAAAGAGGAGCAGCCGCCCAAGCTCACAACCAAAATGATGAGGCGGCAGAGGAGGAAGCGCGGAGGACAATGGGGTATTACATGGCCCCACGGCCGGCGGACATTCAATCGCCTATCCTACACCCTGCTCACTTTCGGGGAAGGCACTTCGATGGCTCAAAAATCGGCCGCCTCGTTTAATTACCTCATGGGATGATCTTCTCAACAAATTCATGACCCGCTATTGCCCGCCTTCAAAGACAGCCGAGTGGAGAAAGAAGATCACCAATTTCAAGCAAGATCAAGATGAAACCTTGAGGTATGCTTGGGAGAGATTCTTTGACTATTTTCTTCAATGCCCACACCATGGGTTCGAAGAACAATTTCAGATTGAAACTTTCTACGGTGGGCTCATACATGAAGACAAGATCCTCACTGGCTCTCTTTGTCAAGGGAGGTTGATGAATATGACCCCGCCTCAAGTGACCCAATTTCTATAAGATCTCGCCCTTAAAGGATATGATTGGTGTTTGACGAGAAGTGAGAAGAGAAGCAATGAAAGAGGAGTAAGAAGTGTGGGAGCAAGTGCTCCACTTGAAGCAAAACTTGATAAGTTGATTGAAGTGATCATTGAGGATAAGAAGCAAGGGGAGAGAGCAGTGACATATAGTGGCTGGGTTTTAAGTGTGGGCCAAGAGGAAGCTGAGTGTCACATGGTGAGTTGGGAACCAGCTCAATGCGAGCAGTTGTACTCCCTTGCCCTTGGGAATGCCGAGCGGATGTCAAGCCTTGAGAAGTTAGGGAGGACCTTTGCTTCCTCCAGCTCGTAGAAGTTTGAAAGAATTGACAGGTTTATAGGAGAGATGATAGAGAAATTCTCAGCCATAGAGGCGGGGTTGCACAGTCACCAAACACTCTTGACAACCCTGACCACAAGCGTGGGGATTATCTCACAAGCAGCTCGCTCTAACAAGCAAGCCGATGAAATGAAAGTGGGGGCGGTTACTCTTCAAAGTGGAAGAGAGGCTAGGGAGCTACCAGAGAAACATGAGCTCACGAGTGAAATAGAAAAGGAGAAGGACGCTTCGATCCCCCAACCGGAGCAGAGGAAGGAAAAGGGAACTCCAACTCTTCCGTATCCTTCTCGACTCCGAAATGACCGTATGGCGGCAGAGTTTGCCCACTTTATGGAGTTGATGAACTAGTTACACTTAAACATCCCTTTCATGGAGGTCGTCACCCAGATGTCCAAGTACGCAAAATACTTTAAGGACCTCCTTTCCATCAAGAACAACTGGAGGGGATAGCTACGGTGAGCTTCAATGTAGAGTGCTCCGCCATCCCGGAGAACCACATGCCCACAAAGCGCAAAGATCCATGGAGTTTCACTATCCCTCGTTTTATTGGCAACATGTGCATAAAAAAAATCCTTGGCGGATCTAGGAGCCAGTATAAATGTGACGCCTTATAAGTTGTTTCAAAAGCTAGACCTAGTTGAACCTAGAACTACTAGGATGAACATTCAGTTGGCTTATAGGTCTATTGTTCGGCCTAAGGGTGTCGTGGAGGACTTGCTCATTAAGGTGGGCCCTCTCATTTATCCGTTCGATTTCATCATTTTAGACATTGATGAAAACTTTGATGTCCCTCTCGTCTTGGGTAGACCTTTCTTAGCTACCGCCAAGGCCTTGATTGATGTGCATGGGGGAAGTTGGTGCTTAGGGCAGCAGAGGAAGAAGTTAAATTCTCCATTGATGATAGCATGAAGTTTTCTCATCATCATGATGATTTTGATTATTGAGAAGAGGTCTTTAACTTCATGGAGGCACTCGCATCTGTGGGTGCCCATACTTCTAACCCTTTTGAAGAGTATTGTTTGGTAGGGACGAATATATGAACTCTCCGAAAGAGAAAAGCCCACTTCCGCAAGATCAAGAAGTGGAGGCCTTAACCTTGATGCCAAAAACCACTGCCTCCCCAAATTGAGTACGTTTTTCTGAGGGATGATGGGAAACTCCCAGTCATCATCAATGCAAATCTTACACCGGAGCAGAAGGCTGAATTGATTACGGTCCTGAAGCGTCACGAGAGGGCAATAGCATGGAAGATCACATATATCCGAGGGATCGGACCGGCCTTTTGCTCGCACACAATCCACTTGGAGGAAGGGGCCAAACCGGGTCGACAACGGCAAAGGCGTGTGAATCCTAATCTGGAAGAAGTAATGAAGGCAGAAGTGATTAAGCTATTGGATGCTGGGATTATCTACCCCATCTCAGATAGCCAGTGGGTGAGCCCGACTCAGTTGGTTCCTAAGAAAGGAGGATTGACGGTGGTGGCCAATGAGAAGGGAGAGCATATACCAACAAGAACAATGACTAGATGGAGGGTATGCATCGACTATTGAAGGTTGAACGATGACACTTGGAAAGATAATAATGCTTGACGAGATTTCACGCACCGGTGATCTCGAGCTATTTAGCGAAAGAACTAGGAAACAAGATAAAAGAGCTACTTTTCTCTACTAACTACTAATACTTTATTGATCGACTGAATAAAACAAAGAGCAAAGGTACATATTTATAGGACTAATCCTACAAACCCCTTTCCTTTTAAGAAAAGGAAACCAAAACCTAAAACAACAAGTAAACGAATACTTCCTAAACAAGATACGTAAATAATAATCTCAGACCCAAACTAATACGAATAAAACGAATAATAACCGAATATACCAACAAATAATAATAATAAAACAATAATAATAATAATAATAATGGGTTGGGTCCAAGATCCCAATTGCCCCAGAAGATCAAGCCAAGACAACATTCACAATCCCCTTCGGAACATTCCCTTACAGGCGCATCCCGTTTGGTTTGTGCAATTCCCCAGCAACATTCCATATATGCATGGTCGCCATTTTTTATAAGCTCGTGGGGTAGATAATGGAGGTGTTCATGGACGACTTCTCAGTTTTCGTAGATTCATTTCATCACTGTCTTGCCAACCTGGAGAAGGTACTTGAGCGACGCAAAGAAACCAATCTAGCTTTGAGTTTGAGAAGTAGCATTTTATGGTGCGAGAGGGATTGAAGTGGATCGAGCCAAAGTTGAAACAATAAGAAAGCTCTTCCACCAACCACAGTCAAGGGCATCAAGAGCTTCCTTGGACATGCTGGGTTTTACCATCGTTCATCGAGAACTTCTCGAAGATTGCATTACCCCTGACCAAGCTTCTGGAGAAGGATGCCCCTTTCCTTTTCACAAAGGAATGTTTGGAGGCTTTTAACATCCTCAAGGTGAAGCTTACAGATGCCCCCATAAATGGTCTCTCCAGATTAGAGCCTTCCTTTCGAGCTCATGTGTGACGTTAGTGACTATGTAGTGGGAGCGGTATTGGGCAAAAGGCGAGGTAGGTATTTTCAACCTATTTGCTACACTTCAAAGACACTGAATGATGCTTAGGAGAACTAAAAAACTACTAAAAAAGAGTTGTAGTCAGTGATCTTCGCTTTCGATAAATTCAGATCTTACCTGGTGCTGTCAATGGTTATTGTCTACACCGACCACTCCGCCATCCGCTTCTTGATGAGCAAGGCGGACACCAAGCCCCAACTTATCTGATGGATCCTACTTCTTCAAGAGTTTGATGTGGAGATAAAGGAGAAAAAGGGAGTTGAAAACCTTGCGGCTGACTACCTCTCGCGACTTGAGTGATCCTTCTCATCTATAGCTTTCAAACCATTTACCTCTGCTTTGTTTTGATTTAAATCTCATAGTTTTCAACCAAAAACCAATCCGCTAGATAATGTCTCAAACAATGGAAGTAGGGATACATGGACCGGCCCGGGTTGATATTTAAACATACTTGCCCTATATTGCAGCCATCTAAGGTTTATACTTGGGCCTTAGGTGGGATTTTTGTTGTGATATTTGGCACACCGACCTACTAGAGCGGATAGCTCGTTGCCAAGGCCTCCTTCCAGATGATGAGCCGGCACCATCGACTCGTGATGAGGTAGCCGACGAGTGAGACATGTGGCAGAACCGATTCCTTTCGCCCCACTTCTCCACTTGGAACTCTGAACTCTTTAATTTATTTTTATTTGGGCTAATACCACTAGGAAACCCGAACTATTAACTTTGTGTCATTTGTGTCCTAAAGTATCTGATATGACATTTGTATCCCAAACTATTTTTCCGTTATAGTTGACTTGCGTTGACCGTTAATTTTTAACAAAAACTTTAGTCAGCGCTGATCTGGCATCTGACGTGGAATTTATAATTATTTTTCATATAAATGAATAAACTAAAACAAAAATAAAATTACAACAAAAAATCTCCTCCCAGCTCCCAACTTCTTCCTCTTCTCTCGTCCTCAATCTCGACGTCGTCGGGGTGCAACGACTCAACAACTCTGTTCTTTTCTTTCTCTCTCTCCCTGTATTCCAATCACTCTGATCTCTTCTCCCAGCAGCCATGGCCGTGAAATCCAACGACGGCGGCAGGCTAGCAGCTGCGTCGCACCGCCATGGTGGATATAGTCGTCGAAATCATGAGGCTCTACAGATCCCTCCCACCGAGGCCTTCCATCAACGAAGTGGAGGCCGTCGTCGCCATTGGTTCATACCCCGCCACCAAATCCACACAATGCCTTTCCCACCACCACTTTACCACCGTCCTCCACCACCGCGATGTCTTTCCCTCTCACCCCTCCACCACCACACCTCCTCCCCTCCTCCGCAGCCTTTACCCGCCGCTCCCTCCTCCTGTCCACCTCACTCTCCACCATCAACCCTCCGCCTTCGTCGCCCCCCGACACCACAGTGACCGACAGGATCTTCATGGACTTCTCCATCTGCCCGGCCTACAACAAACCCGACCGCACCGTCTCCGACACCGTCGCCACACTCTGCACCGAGATGTTCCCCCTCGGGCGCCTCATCCTCGGCCTCTACGGCCACTTGGTCCCCACCACCGTCTCCAATTTCAAATCCATGGTCAATTCGTATTCCTACAAAAACACTTTGGTACACAAGGTCCTGCACAGGCAATTCTTCCTTGCGGAAAGGCAGGGGAGGATGGAAGTGGGCAAGGTCAGACCCCTCGCCGACTTGCCAAGGAACGTCGAGGTTGTCGATCCCAAGGCGTTTCGGCTCGCAAACTCGACGAGATGTTCAAGATGCTCGGTGGGTTGATCCAGCGAGCTTCTTTGCTTGTCTCTGGAGATCCCCAGGTGGAGAAACCAGTCGGATCTGATGGGAGTGGGGAGAGGAAGGAGAGCAAGAAGAAGAAGAAGGGATGAGAGATGTTGAGGGAGGAGGAGGCAGCCCGATTGAGGAAGAGAGAGGACACCCGACGGATTTGGCGGAGGAGATTGACGGAAGAAGAGTGCAATTGTGGGGACGGAAGAAGGGAGGAGAGCTATCTTTTTCTTTTATTTTATTGACTTTTTTAAGTGACATAAAAAAATAAATAAAAATTAGGTTTAATCATTTTTATAACAATATATTTTTTATTTTTTATTTAATTTTTAATTATAAATATGATGTGTCACTAACGTGGCATCTACGTGGCTGCCACGTCAAAAAAAGCCAATGTTAATGTTGACTTCCGTTTGGTCAACCATTATATATAACGGTCAACAAAATCGTCAGGACATAAATGACACAAAACTATAATAGGTTGGGTCACAAATGTCATATCGGATACTTTAGGACAGAAATGACACAAAGTTAATAGTTCAGGTCTCCTAGTGGTATTAGCCCTTTTTCTTTCGTTTATTTGGTGTGCGTGAACAAATAATGTTACTATCGTACTGTTATGTGTAATAACCTCGCATCGAGCGAGTATGTGTTGTGTTTATGTGTGTGTTTTTGTCTTCTCCTCGAAGCTCAAATCTCATACCCTGGAAAATTTTCAACTCTCACTCACCAAGCCATGTCGAACTTAAGTGTGGGGGAGTAGTTTATTATTATGTTTATGTGAGTGTGATTGATGCTTGGTGCCTTGATGTATGCCCAAATTTGAAATTTTGAGGGCTCCAAGCAATGTTTGCATGATCAAAGTGGCTGGTTTGTAGGAGAATCTCGTGTTTATCGACCTTGACCTTGAATTGTTGCATGTAATCGAGTGTGCCCTATGATGATGACTGAGAGGTGCATTAGGATAGTGCAAAGGTTTAGTTTTCATGTATGCAAAAATGAATGGATGTCTTGACTCGATTACTTGTTGATTACAATTGCCATGCATTGTGTTTTGTGAATTGGAATAGATGATTGGTTGACTAGGTAGCCATGTGACTTTTGAGTCGATCATTTTCTTCTTGTGTGCTTAGATCCCTCTTACCATGGCGAGTAACATCATAGTTGTCACTAGTGAGTATGATGGAGGCATAGGATTAGTCCACGCGCAAATGTTGATTGTCTCGAAATGTTTTATCCCCTAGTCAACCCCTTTGAGCCTTGTGACTTTGACGGTCGTTCTCTTGTAGGAGCTTTTTGCTTGTGATCTTAATGGCGATTGATGGAATGATCCACATCCTTTCTTCGTGTCTATACGTGATTCGTCCGTGTGTCCCGGAGACCTCGCTTTTGAGTTCCATTGAGGTTCTACATAGGAAATTTTTGTTAGATTCTTGCTAGGAATGAAAGAGAAAAAGAGTACTATTGGAGTAAGTTCTTAAAAGAGAGCATTGGTTGTTAAATTTAATGTGGAAAGTGTTATACTCTCTAGTACCCCCCTGAAAAAGAAAAGAAAAGAGAAAAAGAAAGAAAAGGAAAGTAGAAAGAAAAAGAATCGAAAAAGGGGTAATAACGGGGTAAATAAAGTAGAGAGTGCCACAAAAATCAAAGAGTAAACTTTAGGAGGGTTTTTTTGGCACTTAAGCCATTAAAACCCCCACATTGTTGTTGCACTCCTTCACTACCTTGTCGAAATTTGATAGCAAGAGTAGACCGAGGAAGTGCGGTTAAATGTAGTTCATGATGGGTGATAGTTTAGAAGGGAGAAGTAAGGTTTTTGGCCAATGCTAGCGGCCATCTTTTGTAGGGAAGGTTCTTAGTCGAAATCATAGAACCTTCGGGTTAAGGGTGTAGATGTAGGACCTCATATTGTGTTTGCCACCACCCAAAAAGGCCTTTTCTCCATGTCCAAGACAATTGTCAGTCATTTGAACCCGTGTCTAAGACCTCCAGACAAGCTAGTGATGACAACCGTCCCGTGAACTCTAACATTTAGAGGTTGCCGCCGTGGTGAAGAAACGATAGGGCCAAGTCTTGATGATTGTGCAAATTCTTTGCACTAAATGGTCCCGACCCCACTGGTCAAGAGAGTAAATGATTCATTCTTGTTTTGCATGTCATATCATACCCTGGTGAGGACTTTTGTTGCCCATTCGTTTTTTCCTTGGACTTGAATGTTATGCATGGTAAGTTGTGGTTGATAAGTGATCTTGTTGGGACTTGCATTAATTCATGAACAAGGTGAGAACTTTTCGTTTGCTCGTTTTGGGGACCTTGAATGTCGTTTGGGGTGGATGTCGGTATTGCTTGCAACGGTCCATGTGTTAATTGCCAATAGCCATTGAGATTTGCCACTTTGTTCCCTTTGATTTGTCCCCAAGTTATTTTGTTAGGTTGAGATATTACCTTCTGTGAAATGGTTTGCTTGGGGACAAGCAAACGTCTAAGTGTGGGGGAGTGATTCGGGCCTAATTGTACACTTATTACCTCGTTTCTCTTTGGCGTTTGTTGCATTTGAGCTCCTAAAAGGGTGGTTTTATGCTAGGTTTCTTGTGTTTCTATGTGTTTCAGAATATAACAAGAGAAACCAACCCCGGAGTCAGAAGTTGGAAAAAAAGGTGCAAAGACCCGGCAAAGAGGAGGGTCCAGCCGCAGCTTGGAGTTCACTGTTGCCAGGACCGTGAACTGCAACCACAAACTGTGAACCGCAGAGCGTCCAGAGGTTACTGACGTCGAGGCCATTCACGCTCGTAAGACCGTGAACTCCATAAGTGAAGCGGCATATTTTGATATGTGTTCGTGGTCCCGAGCTGATGTTCACAGTTGTGAACTAGGCGCAATCTATGTATAAATTGAGAGCTGAAAGGAAGAAGAAGAGAGAGCCCAAAGTGAGAGAAACCTTCTTCTTCTTGAAACCCTAGAGAGAGAAAGCACGAACCAAGAGGGAGAAGAGGCTAGGGTTTTCTCCAAGGTGAAGATTTTGGAAGTTCCTCTTCAAGAGAGGATCTCTACAAGCACAAGGAGAGTTGGAGGCATCACAATGATGTTTTCTTTCTTCTTCCTTTGTGTTCTTCCTTTGTCTAGCATGGAGTAGTTTCCCTTTTCGCTTGGGTGTTTTAGAACCCTAACTTCTATCATGTAATTGATTATGTGGATTGAATGATTGTGTGATGGTGGTGTTTAATTTAAGAATTGGGGTATTTGAGCTGGGTTTTTGACACGCTACGACACAACACCAAACTGGGACCATGAGCAATCGCAGAATGGAAATGCAGAATAGTGGCAAGTTAAATTTATCAACCCGGGGTCTCGATCTACTTCCGACTCCGTGACTACCTGTTATCTAGCGGGACTAAGTGTAGTGAGAGTCACTTGGGAATGAGTCCCCCAAGCTCCTTAGTTAGGTCAAAGTTGTAATTTCCTTTGGTAGATTTACTGTTGATTAAACTGCGGAAGATCCGACGGTAGCTTGGAATCTCTTAAGCTGACCGAGCCCTTTCAGATAGACTACCAAGAAGACGACTAGTCTTCACCGGGATAGAAAACGGAGGCAATTAACACAGAACTCCACTACTGGAATTGGATTCCAGTACAAAGCAGTGAATCGACTAACTCTCATATAATCGATTCACTACTACCGATTGAAGAAGCTCTAGCAACCTAATAAGATTCTATCCATCTCAGGTTGCAGCAGATTTCAAGAAAAGTTGATAAGTCTTATTGACTCAACGAATCTGCATCAATCGATTAAAATCAAGCAGTATATCAATCCAAAATTCATTACAATCAATATCCCTAACACATGGAACTAGGGTTCTTCTTACCCAAGTGAGAGAGAGTTTTACTCCATAGAGAGAGAGAGAAGAAAACAGGATACAAAGTAGTCACACTCTTAACAATGGGAAGAATCTGCTTTGGGATGATAATCTTCACTCCAAGGATGAAATCCAAGCTTGATTGATGAAACCCAGCTTCAAAATCACTCCTAGGGTTCGTTCTTCGCACTTTCTCTCTCTAGGACTCTATTTCTTGCTCTGAAAATCGATTCCCTCTTTAAAGACCCGAAATTGGGTTAAAAACCCAGCTCTGCCAGATCACAAGGCCAGTCCACACGGCCGTGTGAAATTTAGGTGTACCCGTGTGGCTCTCCAAAATGCTGCGTTCAATTTAGTGACTCCAGGTACGCTACACGGCCAAAACCACATGGCCGTGTGGAATTTAGGTGTTCCCGTGTGAACTCTCTGGAAATCCCACACGGCCAAAAAGGGCCCTTTACACGGCCAGTGTGGCTTGCCCGCGCAAAGGAGTTCCACACGGCTACGTCACACGGCCGTGTGGTTTCCCCAGCTTTTCGTCAAACGTCGCAACTTCGTCGAATCTACCCCGAACTTGTGCCCAAACCTTCCTTCACATACTAGGACCTGAAATATAACAAACAAGAACAACCTAGCGTGAAATCGGCCTAAAACACGAGAGATGAGGCTCAAACAGTATAGGAATGGAATGGTGGACAAAACATGTGTATATATCAAGTCATCAAATTCCCCAACACTTAACCGTTTGCTTGTCCCCAAGCATACCTGACTCAAACCAATGCAGCTCACCAGACCTCCATAGCAACATACAACCCCGATCGTTAGCAAAGGATTTCCTAGATCATTTAGGAGCTTAAGAGGTCAACCGGTCTTCTAAAACGTCCTATATCTCTCTCAATGCGAGCACTAGACTCAAGCAGGATCACGAGAATCAGTGGAACTAAGACAACCGATTCATGGATAAGGAGACTCACACAATTCAACAACCAAGGACTCATTGTATCGGGTGCTCTTTCATTTCATCTCAATTGTTGGAACTCCTTCTTATTATTCGTTCCTTTTTCTTTTGTTTTACTTTACTGGAGTTCCAACTGTAGTTTGTATGCGCGGTCTGTCCTTATTAGGTGAGCAAGAGCAATTTCTATACATCTGTCGCTTGCCAGAGCACTTCTTTAACTCCTATTCCTCACTTCATGTGGAGGGTCAATGAAATTAAGGGGTGTCGGAAGCTCTATCTGTGCCCTTAAAAACACATCCTCGAGTAGGCAAACTGTTCAACGGCTGGAAATTTTACTTGTACTAGAGACGGTTTAGCTTCAACTTATAGGCCTACCCCACCAAGGATCACTAAAATCTCTTCCAAAACCCAATTTTGTGCAATGAACGGTGCCACACACGTTGGGCTTGCCCCATGTCTCAAAATTTCAAAGTT